ATTTGGCCTTGGGGCTTAAGGGTTTGTGGCTTAGGATTTAAGGGTTTGGGGCTCTGGGTTTAGGGCTTAGGGTTTTGGGTTTATAGGGTTTCTTAGCGTTTGGGCTTTAGGGCCTCGTGTGTGGGGAAGTGCAATATAAGGAGTTATACAGGTAATTACCATGCAATGCTACTTTGGGGCTTCCTTGTTCAAACATACGCTGCTTTTCTAGTTGCAATGCTCCAAACCATAGTCTAATCATTTAGGCCCCTATATTATAGGGTTAAGGGTTCGTAAAGTTAAAAGGCCCGCCAGAGCCCTGAACCGTCGATGTCCCAGCCTCTCGAAAGTGGAGGTGGGTCAGGCCCAGACAGCAGGGAAGCTGAACACCGGCGCCTGCTGAACAAAATTGGCCTTTGCACATCCGCCTCCCCCCCCTGAAAAGAAGTGCCGCTTGACTTAGAGAAAGATGTATAGAGTGTATATAGGGCTGAGGTTCTGGATGAGCTGGTATTGAATTCTTTGGGAGTTCGGATGTTTTGTAGTTGGAATGTTCAGGAGTTTAGGGTTGGGCGCCGCTGAACTCTACCTCGTAGTCTCGCAGCGTTGTGCTTCCAAGCATACCTTTGCAGCGCGACTCGGTTCATGTTGCAGAGGCCCCACCCTAGCACATTCGGCAGGTTTAGGAGTGCTAGGGTACAAGCTTAATCATCAAGACTTTGTTGTGAGTTCTAGGCGGGTCTGGAGACATGGAAATTGTAACTCCCCAAAAGTCCTTATTAAGGCTGCTATAGCAAGCTGTAACAACAGACCATAGCCTAAAGCGCAGCTCAACGCTCAACGTCCTATTCCAACTACTGGCCCTATATCACGGACACACGGTCAGGATGCAGGGTTCGTGGTTTGGTTGCGTGAAGTTCCGCCGGATCCACAAAACAAACCAGGTTTCGACATTCTCAAAGAAAAAATACCCTTGAACTAAGAAACGTAGGCGCCTTGTGAACCAAACGAAATGTTAAACTGCATCCTAATTCCTACCTTAACCCCGAAGAACCTACATGTCTGAGGACGTATAAAGACATCATAATAAGGAACCCTAAAAGGTAGGTTATTCAGGGTTAAGGTTAGCCCCAACGCCCGGACGGTCCGCCCTTGTAGGCACAAGCTTTGATCTTGGCCCTCTCCAGAGAGGATGCGGCGATTGGGCTCGAATGTGGGGAGTGAGGATTGTAGGTTTTCGCGGGCTAAGGTCGCAGAGCTTTAGGACTGCTTTGCTCCAGGGTTGTAGGGTTTTGGGGCGAGTCGTGTGAGAGAGAGAGAGAGAGAGAGCTTCTGGATTCACATGATGACTAATACATCTATTCCTCTCAGGAGGGTACTTCACAACCAACTTTGACAGATGCCCAAAGCGTCAGAAATTGGGGGCCGTGGCGGCCGGGGGCACTTAACTCGTCCCCTATGGCATGTGGAAGAAGGGAGGGAGAGAGACAGAGAGAGAGAGAGAGAGAGAGAGCCGGAGAGAGGGAAAAAGAGGGAGAGACAGCCAGACAGTGCATACTTGGAACTTGCGGCCGCACGGATCCTTCTCCGTGGCATGTTGTCTCACAGTACGCATAGTGGGCACGTATGCATCACAAAGATTCGCAAAGTTTAAGCATACATGTAAAGGTACAGGTAATTAATTACTGACGAAACTATGCCTGCTCGCTTGGCTTGTTGTTTTTCCTCTCTCTGTCTCTCTCTCTCTCTCTCTCTCTCTCTCTCTCTCCCTCCGTTTCTCGTTGGTTCTCTCTCTTTGTCTTTCCTCTCTCTCTCTCTCTCTCTCTCTCTCTCTCGCTCTCTCTCTCTCTCTCTCTCTCTCTCTCTCTCTCTCTCTCTCTCTCTCTCTCTCTCTCTCTCTCTCTCTCTCTCTCTCTCGCAAGCATGCACACATATGTGTGTACATATGTACATTTGGCACATGTGTATGTTGGTTCTCAAGTCTTCTGAATATGCAAGCAGATGAGTATACGTATACGCATGCTTACATTGCACGTGTGCGTTTGTTGCATATAGCATCATCAGTGTGTTCGGCATACATACCTATGTGTCAAGTCTAACTATTCATATATAAAACCCATCGACCTATCATCTACCGATGTGGCTATCGATCTTTCGCGCTTTCGGGGCTGCTGTTTGTTTTTCTTTAGCGGGTCCCTCAGTTTCTGTGGGTGGCAAATGATTCCGGTGCACGTCTGGAGGCTTTGAGACCCCGATTTGTTTGGCCGGCTGAGGCGACTATGGTCGACGACCTCGAAAAAAAGTTTCATAACGCCGACGGCTTAATGTCAAAAGGGCTGGGGTTCTCGGATCATGCGTCGTTTGGTGGCTAAGGGATGGGTAATCATTGGCTGGGCTGGCATACAATTCGGAAGACTCTAAAACGAATAGCTCTGTGGTGTCATACGGCCTCAAAAACCTCGCAAAACTGCAATCCCGAGCAAAGACCTTGAAAGAGTTCAGATGTTGGTGCATCAGACTACTGGTACTAGAAGGTTCTGTAGTCAAGCATCAACCTCCCCAGTCTTTCGCATTTGCGACCCCGTGTCAGAGACTCTTTGGTTTCCCACACGGGTTTGGGTTGAAGCTTTGCTCACTCAAGACCCCGTTGCCCGTAAATCTTGTCTGAGCTTCGGTATTTCTGAGCCCGCAGACAAACATCTCTAAACCCAATCCCCCCGGCTTAACCAGAGCGTGAGTAGCGTTGCCAAGTTTAGGACTCCAACATATCAACCTGCCTGCAAGCTTCGCCGAGTTGCGGAATCCTTCTGCCTTTGTAGCATCCGTGGTCACCAAGCGCCGTGCCCTCAGCACATGCGCCCCAAGTGGACGGGGCACGGTCATGGCACGAGAAAGCGAGTTTTCGGTACCTGAGGCAGGATGTGAAGCCGTCCCAGCGACCTAAGCTGAAAGCGGCAGAAGTCTTGCAGAACCTTGTAGACATGCTTGAAAAGACCCTGTAGAGGATCTGTAGAGGTCTTTCAACTGAACGGTCCCGTTCTGTCCGAACAATTCGAACTTACATTCTTGCCGTTATTCACCCACGCCCTATATACGCACTAACCGTGAATCTTTCCCTTCTACAGCCGTTATCTTGATGCCACTTAGGGCTTGGTTAGTATAGGAGTTCCAGGTTCAGTGTTTGTCTAGGGTTTTGGGACTTAACGAACTTAACCCTGAATAACCTACCTTTTTTTGGGGGGTTCCTTCTGATGATTTCTTTATGTAAGTCCCTAAAAATGTAGGCTCTTCGGGGTTAAGGTTTGTAATAAGGGTACCCTTTTTCTTACTATTCGGTTTCTTATGATTTCTTTATATAAGCCCCTTAAAAATGTAGGTTTTTCGGTGTTAAGGTAGGGTTTGTCGAAGGGCATCGGGGTTCAGGGTTTCACGTTTGGGAAGTGACCTACCAGTGACATGTGCCGAGTCTTGCTTCCGCAAAGCAAGCGAGCTTGAACTAATGTAGCGATACTTATGGATGTAGATCAAGTCACCAGTTTTTACTTCAAGCGCCTTGAATATTTGGCGGAAGGAGCTTGAATATTTTGCGGTAGTCTTCTATGGAGTTGCCTGATTGCCTGCTACATATGACCCGAGTTATGGAGCACAAAATCAAAGCAGTTATTGAAATATTCGGGCCCCACTAAGACTGCAATCAACCGATATAAAAACCGCATGGTTATCTACCCCAATAGGACCCTAATATGCAGATGATTACGGCTCTCACTTATTTCCCAGACCGCTGCCTGCCGCAATCGCAGGGTATCCCCGATCCGGCGGCCAGGACATGGCTCGAGCCCTTTAAAGGTTTCCTTCCGAAGACCTACTATAGGGGCCATAATAACACTAACAGGGTTTGTGCCTTTTAAGAGGCTCTATCTAAGGGTTACTATAAGGGATCTATAAGGGTACTGCAATATAGGGGCCATAATAGTTAGAACAGGGATTTAGTGCCCAGTATACTATAGTTATGTTAAGGAGCCCTTGGAAGGCTTCCTAAGCTACCTTAGCTTCCGAAAACCTTCCTTTGTGGGGCTCCTTATGCTGGTTTCCTTAGGGTTTAGGGTAAGGGGTGATACAACGGCTTTGTGTCACAGGCTTTACTTTGGGGCCTCAATGTCCCCGTGTCGAAGAACTATGAAGAACTCCACGTCACAAGCAGCACTTCAGGATTCAAGACCCGACTTTCGACGGCTATCTAATTCGAAGACACTATCCCAGTATCCCCTTATCGCCCCTATATAACTACAATATAATATACCCCTCCTCACGGCTTCCACTGGTTCCATCTTTATTTAGGCGTCTGTAGTACTTCGGGCTAGACTAGACGATCGATGTGAAGATACCAGGGGCACTTGCGAAAAACTGCCTTCAGTCCCAGATCCAAACACAACGCTGCAGACTCCAACATACTTGTTTTTTTTGCAATGCCTCCACAGCCCGCGCAGAGGATTTTTCGACGTACTTCGAGGGTGGGTTTAGAAAAGGGTTCCTGTGAATCTGAGTTGTGCAGAAGATTGCGCACATGCTTTACATGCCTCAAGTCGTCGCATGCTGCCAGTACTGTCGTAGCATCCAGTATTTTCGAGTCGTGCAACTACCCTAAGGCCCCAAAGTAGTTCCTTTTGGGATTACCCTATAGGATCTTATATACGAGCCTCACAAAGGAACTACTTTGGGGCCTTTGGGTAGTTCATATGTGCCCCATGCAACTACCGCACGCATTCTCAGAATGGCTCAGAGGCAGACATTAAGTCAGAGTCTTGCAGTGCACGGTTTAGGGCTTAGGGTTTAGGGTTTTGGGGTTTAGGGTTTAGGGTTTAGGGCTTGCAGTCCCCCCAGCAGTCATCCACCAAGGTTGGGTGGAATTTGCCCGGTTCCCGGGCCCATGAGTCCAGACGATAGCTATGGCCCATGACCAATATCCTCTCAACGGCTTAGCTTCAGGGTCTCCTCCTTAGAACACGCCTTCATCTGCTGCAATGGCACCAACCAGTCCAGAAAGAGATCCACCTGCCGCTCCGGAGCGAGGGAGGGCTCTGTATGTAGTGGCGTTACATATGCCATATTTATCCACCCGGACTATACGCCCACCACCCCCCCCCTCTGACTTCTATGCCCCAAATCCAATCCCAGCTGTTGGACCTACGAGGACCTAGAAATGGTGTTCGGCCTGAAAGCGCAAGAGACCCTACACTTGGACTCTGCACCCCATGTGCCAAGCATGTCCCTGAATCACCACTCTGTCCTCCAGTAAGTGAGTCTGCCGCTTCCTTGCTTTGACGGTGCAGGAGTTTAAGATACTGTGCAGGCTTGGCTCATGAGGGAGGGGTTGCAGTAGGGTGATCGGAGGGGTTTGTCTTCTTTCTTACTCGGTTTTGGTGCACCGGATGCATGATGCCTCTTGGGTGTTTAGCCTTAGGTGCAGTTGGCTGTACAACGTCCAGAGTAAAACGAACCGCTGCCTTTCTGTAATCGGTAGGAGTAGCAGGGAAAACCAAACCTGAGAAGAGTGTTCTCAGTCTCTGGGTAGGTAGCCTTTATATCCGTGTTAGTGGTCTTTTATAATCCTGCCACAATCTAAAGGTCAACCATGTTTGGGCTTGGGTGCTCTGCCCCTACTTGGAGGAGAGGTACCAAGTGAGGTTATAAGTACCTTAATTGGGGTTATTCGTCAGTATAGCTTAGTTCATGGGGCTTTGTAACTACATACTTATACTACAACTTTTTGGGTAACATGAGGGGCTCCCATCCCCAAGTGGCTGCATGCTGCGAGGAGCGTTGGGCCCAACGTCGACCTGACACCAGTGCGAGCGAAGACGAGACTTACACTGAGTCTTCGAGCCTCGGTCACCGTCTCAACATAGATGCATGCATTGATACATGCCTCTCTCTGTATGTGTAGCTTTAAGAAAGTATGTGTGTATATCGGTTTGTTGTACATAGATGTGAATACCTATATATATATATATATAACTGTATATATGTATGTATATGCATGCTCCTGTGCATATACATACAATACATTACATGGTACTATGTTTTTTGCTTTGATACATCTCACGGTACATGGTACTACGCTACACTGCGTTGTGCCTTCCCGCCGTACCCAACCTTACCCTGCGAATACGTGATTTACATTGCATTGAGATTTTCAAACATGCCTCATGCTCGCATACTCGTTCGTTTGTGCATGTCCTGTTTACTTTTTACATTTGCCTGGGTTAACTTTTTTACACATCAACTTGCATTACACTGCATTGCTTTTTCTATTCATTGCAGCATGTACACGCATGTGTGTATGAGATGCAGAACGATGTATGTATGCACTTACGTATGCATGTATGTGCGTGTATGTGTGTATATATATATATATATACATATGTACGTATGCGCGTTTGTTTGTATGAAAGTACGTATGTGTTTATGCGTGCATGTATGTGTCGAAGTCTCCCGGATGTCGGTGAAGATAATTCCAAATGCGCCTGCCCAACCCTGAACTTAGGATTGAGGATGTGCATTCCCGACCTTTATCGGCGCAGGCACGTGCCCCGCAGGCGCCGCCGGGCTCATGTGGGAGTTTCCCAAAGCAAGGCGTACCTTAAGTTGGGGTCCTTATAACTAAGGATCCTACTATTTTGGGGCACTATATTAAAATTAGGGTCCGCTATTTTCGGAAAGTCCCACTTGTATTGGAACAAGTATGTATATATATATATATATGCTCATATATTAATGCTCATATATATATATATATATATACGGCAACGTCAGGGATTGAAAAGAGCCCCCATCTTGACCCTTCCTCAACAGAAGCCCAAGATGAAGGAGTCTAAGTCTAAAGCGGTGCTGCCAGGATCTCCATGACCTCAGGGAGGAGGATGCTGAGGAGGAGCCCGATGGGCTTCGGGGCTCGGGATTTTATGTACAGGCTGGCTGGCTTTGAAGCTCCTTTACTGGCCCTAAACGCTATAACCCTTAACCAATGCCCTGAACCCCAAACCTCCGCGACTCCTGCATGAGCTTCAATGCAAACGTGGACGCCTCGCGGCATCGCGTTTGATTCCGAGGCTGGAGCATGGCAGTAGCTACCTCACACCCTCACCTCCGGGGCTTCCAGACACACGTAAGACACACATAAGATTTATAAAAGGGGCCTCGATGACTAAAGCAGGGTTTTGGGGGTGTACCGTAGCAGCAATTATGATGTCGCAGGGAACCTGCAGAGTGGTATTGGTCATTGTTCAGGCTTCTATACTACTGGGTTCTTGCCAAGGAACTAACTTAACATCAGTTACCATCGATATTTCGGTAACTTAAGCTCAAGACTTGGAGAAACACAGAGTACTGGACCTGTGGGATCGTCTCGATTTCCCTTTGTACGCACACAGGTAGGGTATGTGTGCATGTGCACATACAAAGTGTTTGCATCACCTCAAGGATGCATCTACAGCTACATGTGCACATGCAGTCGCAGCGATTTGTCTCCAAAGATGCCTCTCACGGTTATCCTCTGTAGGCCCCAAGATCTCCGAAGCCCATGAACAAGGCTTAGCTGGATCAACCGCAGTCAGCAGCTCCCAGTATCTTCGTCCTGTCATCATCATCAAACAAGGATTTTAGGCTTCGTCATTAGTCATAAGGATAGTCCCTAAAGCCTAAGCCCCAAACCCTAAACCCCAAAACCCTTTGGTGGCCCTACAGAAGGGTCGATCCTCTACCACCCTTAACCCTAAACGCCAGGACAAGGATGTTTCTCCTACCGGCATGCCCGTCCAGCTGCAGGTAGACTCTGGTTTGGGCCACTTGAGGCCGAGCGAGAGCCTCTCAGGGCTTAGAGATGTTACAAGGCTCATTTTGTTTATACATGCTTCTGCTTCTGTAAGCGCGATACCCTTTTGATGGCTCAGAGATGTTATATAGGCGTCATTTTGTTTGTTTAGACATGCTCCTGTAAGGATTTCTAGCATCCGTTGTGGTGTTGAGTCAGGTGGGTGCATGCATGTGTTCCAGGGCGGTGCTCGATATCACATGTCTGTCTGTGCGTGTGTGTGTGTGTGTGTGTGTGTGTGTGTGTGTGTGTGTGTGTGTGTGCGTGCGTGTGTGTTTAGTCGGCTGATCCGGTTTCGAGCTTTTCGGCGTGTGGATGGATGTGTGCGGCCTTCCACCAGTTTGTGGCAAGTCGTTGCCAGGTTTCGGCTTGATTCTGACGATGTTCAAGATTCGCGGACAGTGCTAGACTTTGGAGGGTTCCCCACGGTCGCTCCTACTTCTAGCTGCAGGCCAGCCACCCATTTTTTGAGCACAGGCTGCTTTGGTTCTGCAAATTGGAGCTCTTGCGAGCTGCTACTGGCACTCGGAAGAAATAGCAGCGGCATCCCTTTAGAATCCTATCCCAAACCTATACCCTTCAACCCTCTCCGGAAAATCCTCAATCCTCATGGACCCTAGGCCCTAAGCCGTCAACCCTAAACAGAAACCAGCCGAACTCCCAAGCCGTAATCCCCGGAGTCCCGAACCAAGATCTTAACTGCTTCGGAGCATCCGGGGTTCAGAGGCCACCTTCGGCGCAAAGCAAGCAGAAGAGGATGAACGTTCGAGGACCGCTATCTCAGGGTTGTAGTGTTTCGGCTTGGGGACTTGCGTAGGGTTCGGATGTACGTAACCAGAGTGTGAGGCTTCAACATGAGAAGGAAGTTGAGATATTGCAACAGCCTCAATAATGACAAACATTATTCTCTAGGCTTCCCCTCACAATTAATTACATGATAATATATGATCAAGGAGTCCAAAAATCCTATGCTAATTAGCAACGCCCCGACATCAGTGGAGTGGGTCCGCACCAAGGTGGCTACGAGCCTGCCTCAGCAGTCGCCGTTGATGTAGACCCTGTAGACACCTGATGATAAATTAACCCCTCCTTCAGTGAGGCTTTAAGGCTCAAACTCAACCCTGAATCCCACACCCTAAACACTAAACCTCCAACCCCTAAACCCAGAACCCTGCAATCCTTTAAGAAAGGGGGCCTTCATGAATCAGGGAGGCAGACTACACTACACCCACCAAGTGCCCTTTGAACTATCCGTCCCTGGCGACGAGGAGGTTCGTAGATCTTGGGCATTGCTATGTTGGTATGGTGCAAAAAGACTCTGATTACAATGACTGTTGTTTGTGGCGTGGTTCGTAGTCTGGCCAATTTTAAGGCTGCCTACCACTACTGTAAATGATATTGAGGCTATTTGTCAGTACTATATGCTTTAGCATTAGTATTATGGTAGTTATGTATGCCAATGTAGGTATGTAGTTGTGCATGCATGCATGAAACAGTTCTCAGTAGATGCTCAAGTACATGTGTGTTTGTAAACAAACTATATGTATATACACACACACACCATACAGATAGATAGACAGACAGAGCCGATGCGCCCTTTGAGACTGAAACCCGCCCTTTGTTTGCTTTTCTTTTTTTCCAGCTTCGTTCCCCTGCTTTTTGGCGTGCTCTCATGCATCTCCTGCTCCAGCTGCAGGAACGAAGGAGTCGGGTACTGCGTCGTGGGCATCGGAAGGACAGGGTGCGCGTGATCACCTGATTGGGGTCACCTGCCGACATGAACATCGGCTTTGCGGTTTCTGCAAAGCTTGTCGCTGTTACTGCTGCTGGTCTGGTCTAGTCTGGTCTGGTGTTGGTGCTGGTGCTGGTGCCGCTACTGCTGCTGCTGCTGCCGCTGCTGGCGGTGATGATGGTGGTGGTTTTTGCTTGACGTCCTTGATACATCTGCATGGACCCAGCAACCTGTAAGCCCTGTGTTGTTCAGCCACCGGCGTGGACCTTTCCAAGAAGCAAAGTTTCAGAGTCAGCAGTGCTGCACTGGTCGCACTGTGGAGAACCAGGCAACGATGCTACGCGTGGGCCGAGATTTCGGGTGTATACTAGTGTACTGGCCTCGGGTGGGGCTTTTAAAAAGCAAAACCTGAACAAGTGCTCGATTCGGTCCGCGAGGAAAGATGAACGGCGGCGGCAAAAAGGGCGAGGATGCGCTCCAAGCCCTCCGTCACTGTGGCTGCAAGTAGCGTCTGCAGAGTCATGCCTAGCTTCGGGCTTGATCCTGCGATGCCTTGACTCCCGCCCCACCGTCTTGCGCAGTATGAACCAATGGAACGGGTGAGTGCACAGAGCGATTCCTTCAGGACAGTGTTGTTGGGTGCGTCCGGGTATCCGGGGGGAACCGGGAAATGGAATCCACTGAATGAGCGGAGCTGAGGGGATGATGTTGTCGTGGAGCGCGAAGAGGAGGAGAATGTGATAGACCGCGAAGAGCAGCTAGCGGAAGGCTATGGCAGCGTGGCTGAATTCATGCACTGCTCTGGTATCTTGAGACTGCCATGGGCAGAGTTGGAACGAGGAAGCGAAGTTTTCAGAGGTCGGCCATAGAGGCTCCGCCCAAACCTCATACCCAAACCCCTTTGTAATGCCGAAAATGCTGGCAGATCATGAGCCCTCCTACAACGTAGAACCCCCTAACCTCCGCCTTCCCCTAAACCTTAAACCCTAAACCCCTAGACCCTAAACCGTAAACCCCGAAACTCTAAACCGGCTCGTAAGCTTGCCTGTTTGCGTAAAGGGAACTCCAGAAAGTTGGAATATGGATTAATGGTAGGATATCCCCTTTATTTTACCATGGAAGGGTTAGGATAATCATATTCCAACTTTCTGGCGTTTACTTTATCTGCTTGCCTGCTTGCGTAGCCTTTGGAGGGAGGCTTCCGGGCCTCGGTCACGCAGCAAGCCAGTATCCGTTGGAATCTTGATCCGCCATCCTTTTCGAAGGTTCTACATCTACATGCATGCATACATACATACATACATACATAAGGTATTTATGATTATATATATATATATATGTATATATAGATATGTATATATATATATATATATATATATACAAACATACACATACACACCCATTCGTTGTTGATCATGCTTGTTTGGTGTCCTGGCGAAGCTGATGATAGCAAGTAGCCCGGGATGCTGCGGTGGAGAGGGCGAGGGCCCCCGGATTGTGGTTTAGGATTCAAGGCATGGTGCAGCACGGAGTGAAGGAAAGACTAGACGATCACAATAAGTTTAGGGCTTTGGTGGTAGGGTTAGGGTTATAGTCGGCATGAAATCCGGGTTTGTGACATAGATAGCTCCTATAGATGCTAAACAAATCCTCCGCCCAGAGCCCGCAGTCAGACAGAACCGGATCGTACCTGGGGGACGAGCGTTTGCTATCTGCTGGGCAAGCATGCCAAAGGGTAAGCCCTAAGCCGGCTGGCAGTGATACCGCATACCCCAAACCCTGAAACCCCCAAAAACCCCTAAACCTCCCAACTGCCCTAACTCCCCAAACCCAGAACCCTACACCCTTACCCCAAACCCTGAAGCCCGCCCCAAATCCCCCTAAACCCTCTAAACCCCAAACCCTGAAACCCTGGCCCTAAACCCTAAACTCTAAACCCCAAACCCTGAAACTCCTAAGCCGAGAACTTGGTTCCCCCAGGCCTCCGTGCCGTGTCCATGCGGAAGGCTGGTCTGGTCTGGGGTTCAGGGTCTAGGGTTTAGGGTTTAGGGTTTAGGGTTTAGGGTCTAGGGTTTAGGGTTTAGGGTTTAGGGTTTAGGGTCTAGGGTCTAGGGTTTAGGGTTTAGGGTTTTGCGGCATTTCCATTCCTGTCAGGTACAGTACTTGTACTACCACAACAACTACTACTGCAACAACTATTACTACTACTGCTACTGCTACTGCTACTGCTACTACGACTACGACTATTACTACTGCTACTGCTACTGCCACTGCCACTGCCACTGCCACTGCCACTGCCACTACGACTACTACTACCACTACTACTACTACTACTACTACTACTACTACTACTACTACTACTACTACTACTACTACTGCTACTACTACTACTACTGCTACTACTACTACTACTACTACGACGACTACGACTACTACTACTGCTACTGCTACGCTACTGCTACTACGTCTACTGCTACTGCTACTGCTACTACCACTACACTACTCCTCGACCGGTTACGACTATGACGACGACGAGGACCACGCTACTTCGGAGTGAAATTGAACCTGACAGTGCAGATATTACACAGGTTTGCTGTCTTGAGCTCCCACTACACTTACTATCCTAATTCGAGCAATCCCACAGAGCTTTGCGTGAGGCAGCTGGCAAGGGCATGGACCTCGAGAGATTCGGTCCCGTGAGGTGCGGGCATGTGTCTTTGAAAGGGTTTGAGTTGGGAGGCATGTGTTTGCGTAATCATCCGGTCAGTCTTGCAGAGCCTGAACTCTTCAATCCTAGATTTCTAGCCTGCAAGGTTGTCAAACCTTCAAGAAATGCAGCTGCAACCTTATTAGAACCAGAACGCCCTTCAAAAAGTCCGGCCTGTTCCATGCGGGGGTCCCGGATCAGCCCTGGTGCTGACTGCGGCTTACAAAAACTGACGTTCGAGTGCTCCCCGATATATATATATATATATATACATGATGTATTCTGCTACCGCGCTTATGATGTATTGTAAGTAGAACATGATGTCCAGCTGTATGAACCTTGTATCACCCATTACTATATTGTACTATACTTAACTATTTTCTACTATGCTGCAGTTTACTATAGGATACAAGACTATACACAACTGTATCGTGCTATACTTTACCATACTGTACTATACTACACTGTATAATAATTCTTATACTCGATTATCCTAAGCCACAACTACTATATGCCATACTATATACCTTGCCATTTACCATACTATAAACTACCAGGTTTATCTCTCTCTTCCTCTCTCTCTATATATATATATATATGTATATATACATCTATAGATATCATATTCGATTCTCTGGAGTCTAGATGCGCGGTTCGTTGTTTCAGAGACCCGCACGTCAAGCTGATGGGAGCTCCTTCGCCACGGTTCACATCCAAACCCACTGGCGGTCTTGGGTAACCTCTGCTGGATTGCAGGACCGCCCGACAGTTCAACTATTCTGATGCCATCTCAGATTCCACAGGTAAGCCCGAAACTTTAGCCGCCTGCCCAATTTTTGCGGGAATGACCTGCAAGTCGGTTTGCTCGCGCATGTACGGGTGCATCGGTACTCCGTGCTGCAAAGTGATAGGGCAAAGTAACTCGGTACAAATGCCACGAATCCACCAAGCACGGAACTAGCATGCCAATTCATAGTTAGATGTGCAGGCAGACTAGGCAGACCGACAAATGTACAGCCACAGTCTGTCCACATACCATAGGTTTGCTTACGTGACTTCGACCGTCGTTTGAACCTGAAGGCGTTTCTGCCACGACCTTATCGTGTGGAACGGCTTCGACACGGTGCGGCTCGTCTGCAAACAGCTTGGAAGACAGTAGATTTCAGGCATGGTCGCCGAATCCACAGGCGCAATCCACAGGCGCATGTCTATAGATATTGTAACTGTCTAGATCTGTCTAGCCTGTAGACATCTGCGGTTTGAAGACCGTCCCCACAGTACAACCGCCGTCATCTGGTCACACGATGTGACTACATGCGCTAAGTGAAGATCTGTAGAATCCATGGCGGTAGATTCTGTAGGTGGATCCACGACCCCGGCATATCGAATGCATGTTACAATCGCCGACAGCCTTGCTGCGCGGCAGTGCTGACAGCATCAGCAACAACAGTGTCTTGACACTGAGTGGTGCGAAGCTCAGGAGCATCCTACAGGTAAGTAGGGTTGTTGCAACAACTCCACGAGATACGACTCTCTATTCTGTTGACTGTGATCCAAGCAACTCGACTCCAACAAGAGTTCCGGGAGTTTGCCTCCGGCCTGCCGATTTGGGAATTTCGATTGGGAGCACCCAGTCGAAGATGTGGGTAGTTCCCTGAAATGGGGTCCCATACTTCCATCCCGAAAAGAGTAATGTCAGGGCTTGAATACTTAGAATGGGGGTTTGGGGCCCGTTATACTATAATTATAATAAGGACCCCCCAAAATAGTATTGTTGGTAATTCTTTCGCCCCCTGTATTTAAGATTATTGAGTTCGCCCTCAGAACACGGTAGGCCCTGCTTCCGAGGAATCCCCCCCCCCCCAAGCTTGCTCTCCTGCAGGATTGGCCTGATTATCATGCTCAACGGCGTGACCATTGGGATCCAAGCGCAATACTCTGTGTTGCCTGCATGCTTGGTATCGCGAGCTCGATATGGGGTCAGCCGGAGTTCTGTAAACTTTAAACTTGCATGACTGCACGTCAAGTGCATGGTTTACATACATATACATATATATATATATATATATATATATGGATTTTTTGTATATATATATATAGAGAGAGAGAGAGAGAGAGAGAGAGAGAGAGAGAGAGAGAGAGAGAGAGACACACTCCCTCAATGCCCCATAACACGTGGGGGGCCATGTGCCCGGGGGGTCTGAACGCCCCTCATGCCCTGTAGGAGAAGAGAGAGAGACAGAGAGAGGGAGAGAGAGCGAGTCAGTTAGTTAGTTTGAGAGCCACAGGTAAATCAGGGGGGGGTACCCTACAATCCACTAAGCTGCATGACCGATTGAATCATATGATCACGACCAGGTGAGTTAGGAAAGCTCGAGGATAACTAGCATGCTTGGACGTGTCTCATGGCAGGCCAGAATCCCGAGACAAGCCGGGTGCAATCCGGATTGCAGCAAATGCATCCCAGGAACCGTTTGTCATCCGCACCCCGGCTTGAGTGAGTAGCGTTTGATTGGTGTTGGCCGTCGCACTGCAGCAGCTGCTGCAGTTGCTGATTCATTTTTAGTGTTAAGATGTTGTTGCTTGTTATTGGTGGCATTGATTGCAATGGCCAAGGGGGGAGGGGGGGAGGCGTTTGCGCTGCCTGTCGTGGTGGTGGTGGTGGTGATGATGGTGGGGGAGGTGGGGGTGTTTGTGGCGGTGGTGACTGGTGGTGCTGAATGTGGTGGTGGTGGCGGCGGTGGTGTTGGTGTTGGTGGTGGTGCTGTTGTTGTTGTTGTTGGTGCTGGTGTGCCGGTGCCTGTGCGTGCCATGCATGTACGTGCCGTGGTCGTGTGGACCGTATGGGTGTGTATAATGTATATATGTCTGTCTTTATCTGTCTACGGGTGTGCATGTGTGTTGGTGTTTCTGAGAAGGTGGAAGGATTGACAGCTCCTTGCAGACTTCAACGATGTGCTCTTGAGCTGCTACAGTGAAGGAACGAAGCTGCGAGGTACTATTCCAAGTGGGCGCTCGATTATGCTAGATTCTGCTAGATCCTCTCACGCGTGATACTCGCTCCCCAACCACACCCTGTTGGTGGATCAGACCCCCAGCAACAGAAAAAGCAACCGCCTGCGAGATCAGAATGGACGGGCATTGTCAATTGTACACCAACCT